AGGGCCCAGTCACTGTTCTGCAGAAAGGCTGTGAGAGAACATGGAAAAGAATCCGAAGGCAGCCCTGTAGCCCAGTAAATATGATTTTCACATTACTAGGAAAAGTGACAGGCTTTGATCTGTCCATGCAGGATTTGTCTGCTCTTGTGGCCTGAGCTGATTTCAGCTTGTTTTAGCTGTGACAGCTAAAGGGTCTAGCAGCCAGGGAAAAATTGCATAACTTGTTTTTAGACAGCTCTGTGAATGCCACGTACAGTAAAGGTATAGTTGACCTATGCTGTTATTTAGTAACAGATATTAATACCATAGACTGAGGCTACAGTGGTTATTGTGTATCTTGTGACAGACAAACTTTAACTGAGAACCAGTGAAAAAAGAGCAACTAAGGAGACTAAAGCAACCAAAGAAAATATAGCTCCAGCTCAACCCAAGAATGAGGAGAAAAAAACTTATCTCCATGATCAGCATACCCCTCCTGAGAAACAACTTGGTGGACACTAGTGGATGACCCTGCACCCCCTCTCCCTGTGCCTCTTGTGCAAGACAGGTACCATAGATGTAGGGCTCACAAGGCATTGCAATGACTAAGAAAACTCTAGAGAGATACTAGGAAGTATATGTCAGCAATTGTAATGTATTATTAGCAAGACAGACTTTTTCTGGTAATTTAGACTGTGCAGTATTATTGTAACTGGACTAATAATTTGTTTGTTATACTCTGATTAGACTGTTACAACTTTATTGAGCCAACCAATGACTTCTTGACCTTGTGTATAAGATGTGAATTTCTTTTTGGCTGTAATAGGACTGTGAGTGTACACACTGGCAGAGACTGCGAGCTGCTTTTCTGTGACAGTCTTTGTGTGGATGGCAGCCTCCAGTGACCTCAGAAGACCCGAAGTGCAGCTAACGTCTGTTTGTGTGGTCCTGTATCATGCTTTTACTCCATCCCCATTTTGTAAGAACTGTTGGAGCTGGGGAATGGGGTTGCTCAAACCCTCAGAACCCAACTTTCATTACACAGATACTGACAAAAACAATTGCAAACTTTAAAGTGTGAATGTCAAAACTTTCCTGCAAAGAGATCAAGTGAGAGAGCATATGGGCGATGTGGTCAGTGACACACAGGCTAGATCAGGAAATTCAGACTTCAAAAGCAAAGGTGAGAAATTAAATGTTGAAATAGGAGCCTGCTGAGTTAAAACACTGAGAAAGTAAAACTGTAGAAGCGACTGAAGCTGTAGAGCAACATTATGTGCAAAGCAAGTCATGGACACAGCTCTTGCTAAAGCACCCTCTTGTGATGATGCTGATTTAGGGGATGGAGGTTAATGGATTGATCAAGATAGTGACTCTTCCCCAGAGAAGTATAAGGGTAAAAGTCCACATGCCTCTGATGCTGAGGTGATGCCAGAGTTCAGAGTGAATCCTGTATCACCCATCACTACCTGGGTTACTGTAAAAACAGAAGAGAAAGGAGAAATACAAAACTAGAGTCAGACTGAATTGTTAGGGAAGAAATAATTATTACTGCTCATCAGATCCCAGATAATTAAGATTCTTCACACAAAAGCAGATCCTTTAAACAAAAAAAAAAAATCTGTGTATTAAATGGCTTCTTAATTTAGATCCTAATAATGGTTTACCCATGACTGACCAAGAGCATCTGCTTTAGCTTCTGGGTGGACTGATGAAATAACTGATACAGAGGCAAACTTTGCAGTAGTAAATTATCATCAGAAGTAAATACATAACATTGCATTATATATATTAGCGCAAACCAAATGTACCTGTAGAAACGTATTTGGCATGGAAAAAGTTGCCAGCCTCTGCCCATATTCTTCTAAACAATAGAGGCAGACAAGCCCCAAATTGTGACCAGTTTGCATTTGAACAGTTGCTGTGTATGGCCTGGCCCCAGGACTTTAAACAGAGCTATGAAGCAGGACAAGGATCTTAAGGGGAACTTTAGACAAGGGATTATAACAATTGTGCTAGGAAGATTCTGGAGGAGTATAGTTATCCACTACCATCTGCCACACTGCAAAAAAAGAGCTCCACAGTAGGGAACTAGCTGAAAAACTGAGAGAAGCTTTAGTTTTTGTTGTGGTAAGGACTGAGCAGCAACCACCCACAGATCGCCCTGTGGTTGCACCCTTCCCCGCCCCCCTTCCCCCTCCCGGTGAGATGGGGGAAAGAAGAAAAAAAGCAAAAGGGGGAACCTCGTGAGCTGAGGTAACAACAGATTTTAACAATACAACACAAGAAAAAGAGAAGATAGTAACAACAAACAGTATTAGAAGCAATACACAATGGAAAACAGCTCAGCACCCAAATGCTGCCAAAATCCCTGCCTCCCCTCTCCTCGCTAGCTCCCCCCTATATCCCGGGGGCATGACATCAGCATGGTATTGAATATCCCCTTGGCTATGCCCACCTCCCACCTTCTGTGAAAATTAGCCCTATCCCAGCTGAACCCAGGACAGTTTTTTAAGCCATTGTATAAACTTAAAGGACCAGAGCTATGGTCAAGAACAGAACCGAGCAAATCACTATCACATTAGACTCAGAACAGATTAGTATAATAACAAAGATGATAAAGCCCCTAAATGATTACACTTGCATTGAAGGAGTGGTTAAACTAAAGAAAAGCCCCATGCTTGACATAAGAATCTAGCTTGAGCAACAAACAATGAATCAGATTAAGCAGCGAGATCAACCATCAGCAAAAGGGATCCAGCAAGCAAGGAGCATTATGAGAAATGAGAAAAGCAGATAATAACACACTGGAATTTGTCCAGCCTGTAACATTTGCTAACAGTGGACTGCAGCAGTGAAACTGGAGAAAGACTGTAGGTGTGAAGCAGAGTATTAGTAGCAGTACCCAATGTTGTCTAGACCTTGCATGTGGAAAACCAAGGAAGGATAAAAAAAGAGTAGTACAGAACAACAAGTAATATGTTTCAGCCCTAAGGGTATTGCTATTTATAGGTTGCATTGATTTGGTTTAGCTGGTTTTGCTTTCTTTTGATTATTGTATATGTATATATGAAATGGAAAAGATATAATACTGTTTTTTTCTAGTCAATTCCCATGTCTGAAGTTAAAAGTCAAGACCATCACATTCGACTATGAATACTGGGGAAAAAATGGAACCAATTGCAAGGTGTTCCCATCTCCAAGCAAGAGAAACCCCATTTCTCTCCATGAGTATAAATATGCATCCCATGAATGTGGTCATGATTGCTAATGTATGATGTTTGTATATGTAACACAAATATACATGGATGCAATGCTGTGTATTGATAAAGCATAATAGTTTATGTGCTACAAAAAGCAAAGCTTAATCAGAAAGTATAGAAATCGTTACAATGGTAAATTGTGTTTTAGAAGAATGTATGCTATTGCATGTACATTTGCAACATTGAAGCTGGGAAGACTGCATGTCTGCGTAGTGGTATATATGATGTCAGAGATACAAAACAGCTATGTAAAAGTGGATGCTTCTGAGCTAGACAGAAAACAGATCATGGTGGAAACCAAGAGTTGCTCAATTATCAGTATGACATGAAACCATGTACCAATTTAATGAAAAAGAGGAGCTAGTGAGATAACGTTAGAAATGTGTCACACCATTGCAACTGTGTGTTCATCAAGTGCCCACAAATTATTATAAATTGTCTCATTGTGTATAATTAATCTGATAATAGATGTGTATGTAAAGTAACATCTGCTGAAGGATGTGGTTTAAATTACATCATACCTATAAAAGCAACATTCATCTCACGGGAATCATTGCAATTTTATGCTATGTTAGGCTCAATATGTTTAGGAATTGCCAAGCAATTTTCAACAATTTACAAACAATTGTCAGAAGTGCTAGAGAACCCCACTCTTACACCTGAAGTCTGACATGTGATATGGAAGCCACAAAGGGAGAAGTTACTGAACACCAAACAGATCAACAAGTAACCCGTATCGTTACCGTATCGTTACCACAGTCCTGGTGGAAGTGTGTCTCAGAACCATCTTCCTCAACTAGAAGAGTTTGGAACTTGGCTTTACATCCTAGACCATCAGTTTAATCATTATGTTGTTTTTTCTTAGCTATAAAAACCAAATATTTCATATATTACGGTTATACATAACAATGAAGAAATACAGATTACTCTCAGACCTGTACAAGTTATCTTGAGGTAAGATCAGACAAAAGAGCAAACATCTCTGAGATCTGCTGCCTTGTCCTGATCAGCAGCCTTAAGATATAGAAGGGTTGCAATATCCATTTCTGAATTGTAAAAAAGTGTCTGTGAAGTGGACTAATAAAAGGAAGGCTTATAGCCCTATAGCCCCATAAATATGATTTTGCCATTTTGAGCATACTAGTAGAACAAAGACATCATATCAGACAATTAAATCTCACATCTGAATTGAAGAGTTATTTATGGGTTTTTAAAGTGACAAATTCTGTAACACTGAATGACATACATGAAATTAAACTTTTTTGAAAAAATACTGGATCTTGACTTTCTCCTGCATGGAGCTACGCTATCTTCCCATACTGGACCTTCAGTAGTGAGATCTGCAGGCTCATTTTAGTGCATAGCACTGATTATCACTTTTTCACCTGAAGCAGCAAAAGCAACCTTTTGCGTGCCGTATGATCTAGTTGCCAGGCTGGTAAAACCCCCTCATTTTACCTGTGGTTTACATTACTCTTAGTCTCTATAAGCAACTTAAAGTTAGTAAGCTGCTTATTTTAATAGCTCTAAGGGGCAGTGCATCAGCAACCACAAAGACACATAGATTTTATAACCTCATCCTGAAAAGAAGACACAAACATGAAATCCTCCTGGATTTTAATCACAAATAGCATCCCCATGCATTGATGCATCACAGTTCAGGTCAACAATTTCCCCTTAATTTTACATCAGTTATCCTACCCAATGTAAAGTGGTGTAAACCTTCAAAGACCCTGTTCACCGTTACTTTACAATATATTAGATTCCCAGAAGGACTGCACTCTTCTTGCAAATCCACTTGTATTGGGAGTAGCAGTTATCAGCATACATTTCCATCAACTTATAGGCAGCACATTTTTCTTCTTTCTTCCGTCCTTTTACTGTAAAACTGCAAGAGCCACACAACACACAGATAGGAAGATCTTTGAAAAAAATTGTTTGCATATACAAAGAGAGAAACTACAAAGACCAAATTTTTTATCTTTATGCTGTCATTGTTTTGATTCCCTGACATACAGAGAGGTTTTATTTATTTAGTAAGCTTTGTCCTTCCTCTGTTTCCCTACTTGTGTAGCTGAAAGTAAAAAGCTTACACAGCATCAGTTCCTTTTCTGAGAACTGTCAAGGAATTTCACTTTTCAACTGCATGTTTTGATAAAAATTCTGTACTGAGAAAAATCAGAGCTGCCCAAGCAGAGTATGGGCCCTGGTATCTTACTACTACCTTCTCATGTCTAGTGGCTGAACAGCCCGGGCACAGTGAGTGGAGAACACATCTCAGAAGTCCACATAGATTTACCCAGGAATGGACCTACCTGTGCCCTGGATGTTTGGGGTCAGTGAGCCATATCCATCTTCCTTCCTCCTCATCAAAGCTTAATCCAGTCCAAACAAAGCCAATGCCTTTATCCTTCAGTTTGTTTAAGAAATCCTAGAGAGAGGTATGTCTTTGAACTCTCACAATAATGACACTTCATAAAAATCCAGTACCAGTAGTGTATAGTGGTAATTAATATTTTAAAATCAGCATGGCTTTCATGCCCAAAGATTCCAAAGAATGTTTCCAAGAAATTGAGAAGGGAAAAAAAAACCCAGAAAACCACACATGGAAATTATCACAGATTCTCAACTACACCCAGCACCACAACTAATGATGGTAAGAGGAGCAACCAAGAAGCTAACCTTTGGCTCCTTGCTGGCCCCAGGCCCATTGCACTAACACATTTTAGATGATGATAAGGCTGATCTGAATTACAGGAGCTGAAGCTATCTCCTCTTTTCTCTCCCTACAAGGAAGAGAGGTAATAATTTTGCCAGCTCACCCTCTTGGGTGCTCTAGAAGTCACTGTCTGAACCTGGTCACCTTTAAGCAAAATCAGCAGCACAAAAGAGAAACACTACAGGTTAGGATTTGGTCCACAGACTGTTCTTTCTATTGCCACAGATCTGGTACTGGTGTTTAAAAATGTCCAAAGTACAGAGAAACAGCTCCATCTCCCAAAGAAATGCAACAGCCTTTATGACAAGTTAGTTCTGAACAGGTTAGATTTGGAATCAAACATGCAAGAATCCTTCCAACACCTGCTGCTTCTTGCTGGAGATAATCTCTAGGCATATCATTGCACCTCTTTAAATGAAATGTAGGCTACTGGTCTTTTTGACAAAAATGTTTCTCAACATGCAGAAGCCAATCATCAGTGCACTTACCACTGAAAATGCCTTTTACGAGCATATCTGGATTAGAAATGGCTTCTAAAAATACATGGAAAGCTGTACTTGATATGTGGATTCACAAGGTATAAGCAAAAAGAATATTTGAACCACAGAGTGTCTTACAAGCTTACCATTTCAGTCTCATCCTCTATAATCAGGAGCTCAGATTTTTTTCCTGAGCAGTAATTCCTACTATTCTCCCAGGTGTCACGAGTTTCTGAGTAGAAATAACATCTCCCATAATGCAGCTTCCAGCCAACAGGGCAGAGTTCACATCTGGAGTCTGTGAAGAGCTTGAGGTGAAACTTTTGTTTTACAGCTTGCAACAAAAAAGTTGCCCCCTTTTTTTTTTTTTTTTTTTTTTTTTTTTTTTTAAAGTTTCAAAAAAAAAAGTTTCCCCTTTTTTTTTTTTTTTTTTTTTTTTTTTTTTTTTTTTTTACAACTGATGTAATTATTATTAAAATCGGTTCCTGCTTCTGGTAGGACTTTTGAGTAAGAGTGTAAAGAAGCTTCAAACCCAGGGCAAGGGAAAAATTGCAATGGCATAGCTTGTCTTAAGAAAGCACATTGTCCCTGCTTTATAGTAGTAATAAGGATAGTAATTCTTTGATTAGGAATCACTCTATGCCTTTAAATATTTCAGAACTCTAGCTAATCATACTAAATATTTTACATAATAATTGGGGTAGAATTATGGATAAAATCCCAGCCCTGCCGAAATCACTATTCATAGTACAATTCAATGGCATCCATGGAAAAATAACAAAGATCTTCAATAACACTGGTCCACTCTTATTTTTTGCTTAAACTAAAATGTTCAAGGATGGAACTCTAACATAGATCTATTTATACATCTTTATCAATATGTTAATCTTTTCAAGAACTTCATTTATGCTGCTATGAGCGAGACTTTATTTCCTTACCATTTGTATGTACGCATAAGCTCTCCTTTAACGTAGTCAGTAAGCTGTTCTCACGAAGACCTTCCTCAACGACACCGTCACTTTCAGAAAGATTTTCTCTAGGCTTCCACATGTCACTTGATAGCAAGTCACCTGGACATGAATCTCTGACATTTTAATGTAAAGCTCACAATTGAGCTGTATAGAAACCCCATAGTATTTTTCTGTGGATAATAACAGGAGTTTTAACTGGAAACACGAATTGCTCATTTGTCCTTCCAGCTCTTCTGTAGACAGTATGTGGAGAGTTGAACATCCAGATCATATACATTAAACAAATACATGAGGTGACTGACTTCACAAGGACAGTGTAGAGTCCGTTATCACCATGCTTTTGACAACATGATACCACCTTAGTGGTTTGTTCAGTTTTGGAAAGGAAGAGGAGGGAGAGAAACACAACAGTAGAAAGCACGGGTGGTCTTGTCACCTTATCAAAATAGTTTGTCTGCAAAACCTGTTTAAGTTAAGGATTAATACAAAGCAAAACATTGTATTAAAGCAATACATTCATTGAGAGGAATTAATGCAAAACATTTCACTTGGTCACTCACATCGCTGAATTAATGTGATCACAGCTCCCAGAAACACAACATTCAGAAATCCTGAGAGAGCAGCAAGATACCGCAATCCTGAAGGATTTGAGCGAAGTTCTGCAAGAAATAAGAGTGTTTTACAAACGCAGCATGAGATGGTACCCAGGACATAAGTCTGGGTTTCTCTAGACATCTTTCAGACAGAATGTCCAACACTGTCACTTTGCCGTGTGCTGCGTCACAGTCGCTTTTTCCCTTCTGGTTGCCTCCTGCATATCGAGTGGTTCTTGCTTCTAATAAGCTTTAATTTATGAAAACTTTTTGGGGCCTTGAATTTTCTCATTATGTCTTCACTGTTTACCAGCTCATTTGAGGTTTTCAGTGGCACAGCTACTGAATACTTTATGCTTCTTCGTAGCAGAGGGATGTCACTTGCAGATATCACGAAGACTGTTAGATGTCACAGCAAGCACTTAAGAAACATTGCTAAAGAAAACCTCACAAATTTAGTGAAAAAGGAAGAACTGAAGTTTCTAACAGTTGCAAAGAAAGAGATGTATATGACATGTAAGAACAAAAATAAGGTTCTAGGGCTATGAATACCAACACTATCAATCAAGAAAGGACCAGTAGATTCTCTGAAAATTAAACTCAGGACTCACTAATTAGATTTTAAACCCACACAATGCCTTTAGAAAAGTGCATGTTGTAATTTGGATTTTTTTTTTATTGAGTCCTTGACATTCAGCCAATCCCACCCAGAAAATTACTACAAAATGTGTGGGAAAAAAAAAAAAAAGTAGCAGTGCATTAAACAGAGCTTCTTTGCAGACTAGGTGCTTCATCAAGGTCAGTGAATAGAGATGCCAAAGCAAGCTCCCTCAGAACTCGAAGAAAATTGCAATGCATGGAGCTATACTTCAAATCACGAAACAACTTGAACTTTGTGGTACATTATAAACTCATCTCCACTAACATTTGCACTTCATGTCTCATTTCTAGCTATCACCATTTTGCCCAGAGGTCAAACACCTTGCTTCCTCATTTGTATATTCAATGATACTTACATGGGAAATGCTGCTATCTGTGACTGGACATCTTTAAACATTCAAACAGCTAATCCCACTGTTTTTATATTGCCACCCTATTTAGGCAGCAAATAAATGTGAACAGAATGCAGTACTTTTCACGAGCTATGCAACATGTTATGGTTAAGCATCTGTGTGCATTTTCCTTCTTCCTCTGGGTGCTATGCTGTGATTCTGACATTAAAAAAAAAGCCAATGAGGATACTTGGGGTCTAATCTGAACTCTGCCATGATTTCCACAATGGCTAGACTGTAGGCAAAACAGTAACAGTGACTTGTGTAAACGCTCATATTGGTGCTCAGCTACCCAGAGCGAGCTCTGGCAGCAGCAATACGCAGCGCTGACAGCACAGCATGGGCTAACAGCTCAGCATTTGCCCAGCTTTTCAAGGCACCTCTGCAGCTTGCACCCCTGTCGAGACTGGGTGGAACCGCAAGGAGGAACGGGAGCTCTGCATTGTGGTCTTCCTTGCATACTACATTAACTGATGCAGATATTGCACTAGGTTATGCCCATGAGCCATTGTGACCACTTCTAACCACTCCAGTGAATACACTTCTGTATGCCGTATGTATATCACGATACCACGACCAGTCTCTGTCAGGTATAAAGCTGGCTCACACACATTTCACCACAAGCAGAAACTCGGCTTGCAGTGCATGAACACTACATGAAAGCACTGTCTCTTCAATTGCTTACCTGAACTCTTTCTGCTGCCCTGTTGTGTCATGCTACCCAATCATGCAGGCAGACAATGCAGGTAGAGCATTTTAAACCCAGCTTTGTCCCTGTGTGCTCTGCTTGTTTGAGGTCACATACTATTCTGTATATGTGCCAATTACACTTTGTCTGACATCTTGCTTCTTTTAAATGGAAATATTCAATTTACTCCATTACAGCAATGTTTTTGTGCACTTTGACAAATATTTTAAAGACCATTGAAAATTCTTAGTTAAATAAATGTTAGCTTTTATGATCAGTTTTATGATTTTTTTTTTTTCAATTTTGCTGGTGCTGTGCTTCTAATGAAGTTGGGAGCAGGCTCTCAACTAAGTTGTAATAACTGGCACAATTTATGTCAATAAAATCGCACACAGTTTATCCTGCCATACTAGGTAACTGAAGTTGACTCTTGCTTTTTCCTATTAAAAATTGTGCAGCCAGGATTTCTCAGGAACTATCATCATAGCTAACTAACTGTTTGGAAACTGGTTGTCTAGTTGCTCTGAGGATTTAGTATTTATGACCTGAGATCCTCTTCCCTGGGACACTTAAAAGAAATAAAGGTTAGCAAGGGTGAGCTTGAAAGCCTTCCAGTATATATCTTTATACTTTCTCCCTTGCTGCTCCTGACACTTTCTACAAAATCCCTAGAAGTTGTTGAAAAAGCTTACTAGACAGCAAGTTACTGTCTCACGGTTTTCATTTAAATTATTCTTAAATTCTTCTTAGCTGTGATTCCTGAAAAAAACCCAAACCAAACCAAAACAAAAAAAAAAAAAATCCCCCACAAACCCAACCAAAAGTCCTTTAGAAAAATTAAATGGCTAAAGAGCCATTAACCACTGCCAAACTTGCAGCCAACTACTGCCTCATGTTTTCCTCATATGCCTTTATCTCCTAGTCTCCATTTTGTACTGGGACTGTCAGCACCAGTACTCCAAGCCTGGTGGTACTATTAATTACGGTATTTTATCTCTATCCATCATATTTCTCTGTATACTGGCATATACCACTGGCAATTTTAGTAACACCAACTCAAATTTTGGCAGATATGGGTTTTTTTATGGTAGTTCAAATATAGATGAAAATAGGTGTAGACACTTGTTAATTACAGAAAAAGCCTGAAGGCATAGCACAAACGCTTGGACGCTCACCTGCACTGGAGTTTTTCTTCCTTGCTTTGAAGCGAAGTTCTACGTAACCCTCTTCATTCTCCATTTCAAGGTCTTTTTATCACTTCTTCCTGTTGAAGACTGACCATTAGTATCAAACTAGGTTATGGGAAATGATGAGTGTGATAAACAGGAAGGGGACAACGGATGGTCATTGGTGCTTTTAGCTGAAGCCATACAGTAGCCGGACTACGAAAAGGAACTTAACTGTATAAACTGTACAGACAAGTGAACTCTTTTCTCTTCTTTTTGACTTCCTCTGTCTTTCTCTGACAAACTCCAGCCCCTTCTAACAGATATTTCTAACACTGCATTTTCTCCAACGCAATATCACAGTCCTCAAATGCATTCTTTTAATACACACGCGCTCTTGCACGAGAGAATACACTTGAGCCCCTCAAGCCCATTTCTTTGGATTGATAGACTTTTCGCATTTACTCAATATTAAAATTGAATTATGGGGAAATCAACAAGCATCCTTTCTTGGCAACATAGTGTTGCGAATCCAAGTCAAAACCACTTTTTTTTTTCTTTATTTTGGAAGGATATTTATATCGCTTTTACTGAGATGACAGATCCAGAGGATGCTAGCAGAGCTAAACAACCAGGCAAGAAAGGCTATCAACAGCAAGAAGCCAGCCTACAAAAAGGTACATGGAAGAAGAGGAGCATAAATTCTATAAAGCTGAATATGAAAACACAATAAAGCAAAACAAGAGAGAGACTGAGGAGCAGCTTACAAGAAACCCCCATTCTTTAGGAGGAAAGAACCTGACAAAAGGTCTGTAAGGCAATAATAAGCTTATAGAAAAGGTCACACAGTAATAGGAAAATAAATCAGTGCTTTTTTTGCGTGTGTTTTTGCTGTGGACGAAGGTTCCCATACTAGAATCTTCTTATACTGGAAAAAAACCCACCCAAGACCCCAGACTCAAATAAAGAAAAGAATTTGTCATTATGTGGCTAAATATGTTAACTAATGGAAGATATTTAGAAGGAAATCTTGTCTCACACATCCAAAGGAATTTCTTGAAGAATAATTCTGAACTCTAAAAGTTCAATCATTTTCTCTCTGCCCAGGAAAATTTCCATAGCATGAGATTTTAGCGGTCATCAGGTTTGACTTGAAAAGACATTACTTCTTCCAAGAATCTAAAATAGCTTCACTATGACAATGGACATTGTCTCAACTTTCAGTTTTCTGTCTCATGGTCTCCATTTGCAAAAGGGTCCAAAACTCGCTGCATACATTGTCTTCTTAAAATGAAAAATAGTAGATGAGCTCTAAGAGTATTCTGGCTTCCACCAGCAAAACAATGAAAGAAACTCCCAGTTCAGACCTTTGGAGTTACAATTATGCTTTTTGTCTTGATCTACTTTTTTTGTGCATGCACTCCAAGGTACTGACTTTCTGTATGATGTTCTCGAGTCCACAAATCTTAATACAGGATTTTTTTTTTTTCTCACAGTGAAAGCACATGATTTTTAAAACATTATCCATTACGTGCTTTCTTAAACCCACCATACTTTCAAAAGAAGAATCTGATTTTAAAATCACTTCTCCTTTGCAGGGAAATTACATATGAAAACAGAACTGAATACTGTCTGTCAGGGTAGGGTATTAATTTAAGCATTCTTTCCAAATAAAGGGTTGATTAGATCAGTTTGCATGATACTACAGCTGTATAATATATGCAATATACTAATTATATTAATTGTATTAGTGATACTAATTTGGATCTCCTATTAACAAACACTGTAGAAGTCTTCTGAGTCTTCATAACTTCTTGTTCACCTTCTCACCCCTTTCTTGTTCCATTTATCACACAGTCATATTTTTTAATAAAGAAAAAATTATATGTAAAATATGTAGCTTGTTGCAAGATCTATCTGACTTTTTTTTTTTTGCTCAAATTCTCCACAGACTTCCAGAAAGAGACAGAAATCAGAGAAGGGACATGTGGTGTCTAAACTGCAGCTCCCAGATGGTGTCCAGGAAGCTCAAGCAGATAGTCCCTGACATCAAATTGAGAAGCAAAGCACTTTGACCTTGGGATGCTAATGATTTCTCTACTTGTGTCACTGAAACTTCATTAGTGATAATGGAAGAATTTTTTTTCCTCATCAGAATGTTTTCATTAGAAGGTTGTGAATAGATTAAGGGCTATTGTTGCAGCTCTTAGAGACCAGAACTGCAATATGTTCAAAGTCAGTGCTGCCATTATATCTAAAAGGAATAAGAATAAACAGATAGATATGTTGCATAGTATACTAAGAAAAAAATACATCCTATTATGTTGTAAATAGGCTTGGGCTGATTAGATATAAGATTCTTGGCAAAATGTCACTATTCGTTTAGCTTTTTATATTATCAGAATATAAATATTAACGAGGTTTTAATGATTAGGTTCATAGTTGCTGAGAATTTCTATTTATAATTACCAAGAGAGTATTTCTGTGTAATGAGCCAATATATCATTTTTTTTCAGAAAAAAAATGAAGGGAAGAAATTTTACTTGCAACTACTTATTCAGCACACAGAAAACAGTGAGGAATTATGTAAAAGTACACATACACCCAAAAGATCTGCATTAAGTCTTTGAGGGCAAGTTTCATTCTAAATTTTCCAATTTTCTATATGCAAATTTCTCAACACTGGCTAATATTCTTTTAATGCTTTTGTACACTTTCATAGTTTTTTGTAAGAGAAGCAAAACCTTCAAGCTCTGTCCTCTTCCATACAACTCCTTCATGAAACTATGAGAGAGCCTTCCCCAGAGGGCTGTCAGCCCTGGTCTTTCTGCATGTCAGCTTCTAGTATGGGCAGCTAGGAGCAGTGACCTCAGCCTGAAATTAAAATGGTCATTCACGTATGATTAAAATTATCACAAATAGCAGAATAAAAATGTTTATGCTCTATCAATGATATTTTATCACGTACTGAAATGTTACTACAACATATTGACATTTCACTGAAAGAGGAACTTTCCCAGGACAGAAATTCTCAGCAAACCGAAGGTTTGTTACTTAACAAGTCTGCTGCATAGTGCTTTGTATTTAATTAATTGTCTTCCTGAGTTAGAGCCCAAGAGATTACTCCTATGCAAAACTATTCATACATACAACTAATAGAGCTGTTTGGGAACTAAATTTGTTAGAAAGGAAACTTTCCATGGACACTTCCAAAATTGCCCTTTGTCCCTCCTAATTCAATTAGCTTTGGTCATTAGCTAGAGACTCACACAAGTGTGTTGTCTTTTCATATCAGCACCACCACCATAAACACAAGTAAGTTCCTCAGCATGTGTGTTACTGTGGTTAACATATAGCTTCACACAGGGATTCACAAATCCTCTGATGAGATTTACAATCACCTTCATTATAAATGTAATTTGTGTGTTTGTTCATGGGCTTATAATATTTGCATCTTGTCCTTGAAATTCAGCAATTATATTAAGAAATACCTGAGGGGGGATAATAGATCTAGATCTGACTGATTTGACCTAAGGAAAATAAAAAGGACACTTAAAATAAAAATTCCGTTTTTGGCTTCACAGCACCACTGGCAGCATATATAAGTTGTCAGTTCTCCAACAATACATTGCCTCTAGTGAATTTATGCCTCACTGAATTACTCTTCATGGAATCAAATTTGCATCAGGCCTGCTGTAAGACAAAGCTAGTCTCAGTGTTTTTGTTTTGAGGCTATCATCCAACACTGGAGATTTCTTTGAAGAGTAAAGTGTTTCTTCTGGTTTTGGCAACAGTTAACACAACATGCATATGCACTGTTCCTGTGTTTACATAGAGGTCTGAAGCATCAGATCAGTGATGGAGTGGGACTTCCAGTAAGTTAGGTACTTTCCTCTCCTAAACATTGACTGCAGACTGTTAAATCTCTGTATTTCCTTCCAGCTGGGGAGGTGAGATTCCTGATGCGATTCTGGGGATCGATGCCACAATCAGACATCCCTCTCTTCACGATATATTTGAAGAGAGAGAGCCTTGCACATCACATGTGATGTTTTGTACAGTTGAGCAGCCTACAGAGAGCAGAAGCCTCAGCACACAAGCAAAGCTTCCTCAGGTCTAGCTTCGAGCAAAGTGTAGACAATGTAGATCTTTCCTACATCTTTCTTCATCACACTACATATTTTCTCTGCAACTATGTTGGGAACTAAGAACAGATCCTCCGTGTAGCTGGACTGGCAGGCTTCATGAATGGAGTAAAATCCAGCTGGCAGCTGGTCACAAGTGGTGTTCCCCAAGGCTCAGTACTGGGACCAGTTCTGATTAACATCTTTGTCAATGATCTGGATGAGGGGATCAAGCGCACACTCAGTAAGTTTGAAGACGATACCAAGTTGGGTGGGTGTGTTGATCTGCTTGAGGGAAGGAAGGTTCTACAGAGGGATCCGGACAGGCTGGATTGATGGGCTGAGGCCAGTTGTATGAGATTCAACAACACTGAGGGACAGGTCCTGCTCTTGGGTCACAACAACCCCATGTAACATTACAGGCTTGGAGAAGAGTGGCTGGAAAGCTGCCTGGCAGAAAAGGGCCTGGGAGTATTGGTTGACATCTGTCTGAATATGAGTTGGCAGTATGCCCAGGTGGCCAAGAAGGCCAATAGTATCCTGGCTTGAATCAGAAATAGCATGGCCAGAAGGACTAGGGAAGTGATCATCCCCCTGTATTCAGCACTGGTGAGGCCACACCTCAATGACCGTGTTCAGTTTTGGGCTACAAGAACGACATTGAGGTGCTTGAGTGCATCCAAAGAAGGGCAACGAAGCTGGTGAAGAGTCTAGAGAGCAAGTCCTATGAGCAGCTGCTGAGGGAACTGGGGTTGTTTAATCTGAAGAAAAGGAGGCCCCGGGGAGACCCTATCGTTCTCTACAACTACCTGAAATGAGGTTGTAGCAAAATGCATGTCAGTCTCTTTTCACAAGTAGCAAGCGATAGGATGAGAGGAAAAAGCCTCGAGTTCCACCAGAGGAGGTTTAGGTTTGGTATTAGGAAAAATTTCTTCACCAAAAGGGTTGT